AGAAAGTGGAGACGGAGCCTACTGGACACAAGGTCGAGGAGAGGAGCAGATGTGGGTTCAGACCACTATCTAGTACAAGGGACTTTCAAGGTGAGACTAAAAGCCTCGAGGATAGCTGGGGATAGGCCACAATGCAAGTTCAACACTCAATTACTGAAGGACACAACCACAAAGGACACTTTCACTGCAACTGTCAGAGCAAAGCAGGAAACACTACGCGACATCACTGAAGAATCATGCGTGGAAGAACATTGGAAGTCTCTGAAGGCGATTCTCAACGAAACGTGTTCAACGGTTCTAGGAAGAAAGAAGAGACAAGACAAGGAATGGCTCTCAACGGACACTTGGAAGCTAATAGAAGAGAGGAGAATGGTGAAAGAGAAAATGATTCAATGCAAGGACGGACAGGAGAAGGAGACGCTGAGCTCAACTTACACAGCACTGGACAAAGAAGTGAAGAATAGTGCTAGGAAGGACAAAAGACGATTCTACGACAACCTCGCCACTGAAGCTGAGAAGGCAGCAGGCAAAAGGGACCTGAGGACACTATATCAGATAACCAAATCTCTATCCGGGAAGAGATCAACACAAGCGAAACCTATAAAAGACAGCCAAGGGAACCCAATCACCAAGGAAGAAAAACAGATTAAACAATGGGCGGATCACTTCAAAGGACTCTTGAACCGACCATCACCTGCAACCCGTCCAGAAATACCAACAACAGCGCGCACACAACTGCAAGTTGACACCAATCCTCCAACGAGAGCTGAAGTCTTGAATGCAATCAAGCTTCTGAAAGCTGGAAAAGCAGCCGGACCAGATGGAATACCCCCTGAAGCACTGAAAGCGGACCCAGAGACGACAGCAGACATGCTGACTCCATTATTGCAAAAGGTCTGGAAGGAGGGAAAGGTGCCTACTGACTGGAGGAAAGGTTACCTCGTGAAACTACCAAAGAAGGGCGACTTAGGCCCCACTCTGCAAGAACTGGCGAGGAATCATGCTCCTGTCGACGCCAAGTAAAATCCTGAGTCGCATCATCCTGGAGAGATTAAAGGACGCACTGGAGACAGAACTCCGACCAGAACAAGCTGGATTCAGGAAAGGCAAATCATGTACTGACCAAATTGCAACTCTACGCATCATCATCACAGAACAAAGCATGGAATGGCAATCAAACCTCTACCTCAACTTTATAGACTTTGAGAAGGCCTTCGACAGCGTTGACCGTGAAGTAATTTGGAAATTACTCGAGTACTACGGCGTACCCCAAATATTCATCAACCTTATTCAACAGCTGTACGACAACGGCACATGTCAAGTGATCCACAACGGAAAACTCAGCAAGGCGTTTGGAGTAAACACAGGAGTCAGACAAGGGTGCTTATTATCACCAATGATATTCCTAATTGTGGTGACTGACTGGATTATGCGTCAGACAGTGGGAAACGAGAAGACAGGAATATCCTGGACCGACGTGAAGAACCTAGAAGACCTGGATTTCGCGCGTGGATGATTTATGTTTGATGTCACACAAGGTCGAAGACTTACAAGCGAAAACCGACAAACTGGTCGAAGAAGCAGCAAAGACAGGACTCCAGGTGAAAATAGACAAGACGGAGGTTATGAAAATAACCAACAACAACAACAACAGCAGCAACATCCAGTGCGAATCACCATCAACGGGAGGGATTTGAAAGAGGTTACTTCACTAACTTATCTAGGGAGCATTGTCTCAACTACAGGGAGTCGGAACGGACGAGGATGTCAAATCGAGCGAGAATCGGGAAGGCGAGAAACACATTCAACCTGAAATCAATCTGGAAATCTTCGTCACTCAGCATCAACAACAAAATTCGGATTTTCAATACAAACGTAAAGTCAGTTCTTCTATACGGATCAGAAACTTGGAGGGTCACAAGGAATATTTCCAACAGCTTGTTGCAGACCAGACCTTTATTAACAACTGACTTCGCTCTATACTGAAGATCAGATGGCCGGAAAGAATCACCAACAAGGAACTATGGGAACAAACAAACCAAGAGCCAGTCACCCAACAAATATGCAGGAGAAAGTGGAGATGGATCGGTCACTCGCTGAGGAGGCCGCTGGGTGACATCGCGCGTCAGGCCAGCTCGAGTGGAACCCATAAGGGAAACGGCGTGTGGGACGTCCAAGGGTAACATGGAGGAGATCGTGTGAAGCGGAGTTGAAAGAGTATGGACTAACATGGATGCAGGTGAAAAGTACAGCAGAAGACAGAAGCAAATGGAGACGTGCAGTTGAAGCCCTATGTTCCACTAGGAACCCAAAGGAGCAATAATAATTATTATTATTAACCCATTGACATTTTGACACTGTTTAATTATTGTTAACAAACTTATCGCCACTTGATTGGCAAACTGTTGTATTGTAATTAAAATGCTATATATATCAGAGTAGAGCCAGAGATGAGGATCTAATTGAAAAGTAAATATTTCTTCGCTCAATCTTTCTGTTTTCCCTCGTTTGTTCCTCCCGAGTTCCGCTTAGTCTGTGCATGATTACTGAGCCTAGGATTTTAGAAACTATGTTCGTTAGGCTAATCCCCCTATGATTATCGCATGTGGACTACTGCCCGTGATCAAACATCAGTAATATTTATCGTATCCGTAAGCAGCGCGCTCACCATTTTAAGCCAATAATAACGGCTTCGAGGATAAATAAAAGTATAAACAATAAATACGATGCTAAAGATTTATTCCCCTTTATGAATTTGAATAAGGCAAAAACGACAGTTTCTGCAGAATAAGGTAATACCACCATTTATTTCGTTGACTTCTCATTAGCTGCTAAAAGCCTACAGATATTATTAGTTTAATGTACAGAAACAATTTTCACATGATGTCAGTTAACAGTGTTCAATTTTAAACAAAATATCAGTGTATGCATGCAATGGTAAAGCTATGTAATAAAAACAAGAGGTGAGTAGGATGATGAGTAACTAACAAATTGAGTAACAATATACTGAGTTCAACTCAAGCAAAGCTACACCATATCAAAGGGGGGAGAGGTTACAGATGATTACATAATCAAACGAAACAGAGAACAAAGACATCCAGTTACCAGAGTGAGGAAGGACTGATACATGCTACTTTCTGAACACATAAATCGGGTTTCAAGCGTTTGATAGAGATTGTTTCAGCAAACTTGAGGGGAATTGACCTATTTCGTTCACTGTTAATTTTGAAGGATTTCAAGATTTTCACCTCATGAACCGCATGAAAGAGATGCCCGACAGTGGCATTATTGAAAGCGTTTGTTTTTCTAAGACGTTGACTTTTTGTATATATTCAGAAAGTCGGAGGTATGTCTTTCTTTCTTTTCTCCCAGTGTAACTGTTCCCGCAAATACATGTAAATTTGTATACACAACTGAAGTTAATATGAGAAGGGTACCTGTTGACTTTTGATTGCACCAAAGAGCATGTTGTCTAATAAACGGGAACAGAAATAGCTACAGGATAGGCTTGGTTAGCTCCTGTTGACTATTCCCAAAATATTATCGCCTTTGAAATCGATTTAACTAACGACAGCTTCTTTTCCCACTGTGATTTGATTGCTACTAGAGCCTTCATGTCTTCCATCAATGAATTCTTGGAGGTAATCATTGTTTTTCGACATTTTTTCCAGAATCATAAATTGTTACTCTAATTTTTCAGTGGAGTAAATTCGCCCGACTCTATAGAATAGAGTTTTGACTATTGCTCTGTTTGGACAAAAACTATTAAGAGTGCAAGTATTGTCCATTCCATGTCGGCTTTCGGTAAATTGACCTCTGGAGACTACCACCTACCATGCATCGCATGACAATGTCAAGAAAATGAAACTTTCCATCACTTTCATATTCCATAGTAAATTAAATATTTGTATGTGCGTCGTTGAATGATCCGAGTAGGTAGGAAGCGTGACTTTCATTTTTCCACACTATAAATGTGTCTTCTACATATTGACAATAAGTTATTTTGTCGAGTGTACGCTCCAACTTCATTCTCTCAAGGCTGAGCATGAAGATGTCTGCTAAAACAGGACTGAGTAGATTGCGGATAGCTACACCCTATATTTAGTGGTAAAGCGGTAAACTTGAACTCTGTAAGTATGCTAACGTTGTTTCTGCACTTAAAATTAATAATATCTTCTAGGCTGTAAGCAGTTGATGAGAAGCCGACGAAATAAATGATGGTAGCACCTAATTCTGATCAAACTGTTGTTCTTGCTTTTCTCAAATACGATATTACTAAATCTAGTCGATGAGCTGAAAATAAAATAAAATACCTACACTGAGCTCCATCTGTAGCTGTTGTCAGGTATTAAAGTGTAACAAACTACGAAACCATTATTGTTTTCACACAATATAAGCAATGATCACACCTTGGGTGGGTATGACACAATGAGTTCCAAGGGATATGAAAATTCACATTTTCATCCAGCAACACAACAGTAGGCGAAACAATGCCGCCATATAGAAAAGATGTTTTATGCACAGATCAGTGAAGTACGATTAAATGCATTGTTAAGTACTTAACATAAGTGCACCCTTTTTACTGAAAAGGAAATTTATTGACTTGCAAATAAAAGTTTCGCGTAACAGTATTCATCCATCCAGAATTGAAAAAAAACGAAAGATGACATGAAGTCTTAAGACTTGTAATTAAACTTATATTTACTCAACTAAATACAATGAGTACGTTATAAGTATTACAAAATGCGTAAATTATATAGGCGTAATGGTAACACTGTTATGGTGTAGGCACGGATAATCGAATTCCAGCCACAGGATTTTGAGTTTAAATCTCGTCCTACCCATTTGTCTTACAATCTAGATACTATAATTAGCCCTCAGAAAAAATATGCAGTCTATCGCCTGGTACATGAACAATTTCCAGGTGACTAAGATTTTTTACAGTCGTATGGCGTAAATGGAAAGATACAACATAGGTAAAAAAGAATCAAATGAATTACCTTTCGCATCAAAGCTTGTCTAAGCCATACGCGGGAAAGACCCATCCCAGTCTTTATTTCAGCCATTGTAACAACAGTACTACTAATTACACTCGAAAACGCCGACAGTTTTTCAACTTCTAAAAGTACTGGCCAGGGATTCGGGTAAGATGACTGTTTCACGAAGCTATTTGCAGTAGATGCCACATGATCACATGCTCGTCGAATAACACTTGTAGTGCTCCTTAAAAATTCCTTAGCCATAGTCCCTTCACGAGTACTATAAGCGGAATTAGTGGTGGTGTATTCGTGGCGCAATCCATGACAAAGGCAGTGTTCAATAACACAAAGTAGTAGCCAGACAATATTTGAAACTTCACCATTATGGACATTTCCGGGTATAATCGAAAAAAACGTTTCGTCAAAAGACACTTGTTGTCGACCATATGTATATTGTATCAGATCTCTCACAACTATCTTGGCAACAGCCAATAAGTTTGACCGTTCAGTCTCCATTCCAAAAGTTTTCATAGATTTTTCAAGGACAGGCTTTTGTTTAACATGGCCTAAAATATACGACAAGCATGTATCATGAGTAAATGTCAATCTGATTAAAATTAATTTTAAAACATAAATAAATCCGACTAGAGAAAATCACGGTATACAAACTGTAAAGCAAATACCAGAAATAGATTCTAAACTCGTATCTATTAATTATTAACTACGGAAAATTCGTCAAATTATACAAAAGTAACAAATTACTCTCCAAAAATTTGATTTATCGTTTGATTTATACGCTTAATGTGCAAATGGACTGAAGTGTACAGTATATTGTACCTGTCTTAGAGACCAGTAACGAATATAACATATGCATGACCGCTAAAACAAAAAAGCAAGACCAATGGGAGCAGTTATGCACTCTTTATATCGGCCCAGAGGTTTTAGCAACTAATCCTAAGTGATTGGAATACTGAATTACCGTGTTACTAATCTGGTACGTGACTTAGTGGTAAGACAAAAAAATCACCTCATGAAACCAAGCTTTCCGTAACACTTGCGCCTTTAACCTGAATTCTGTCACTGATATACTACTATTGCCTACGCGATTTATTTATTGAACCAAATAGAAACTGGATAAAGAGTCCGTACCAGGAGCTAACATATCAACAGGTACTGATCATATCGGTACAGAGAGATCAATCAACGGGAAATTCTCAATAGTTTGAATGAGAAGTAGATGATGCAAATAGCATAAGTGGTGTCTCTTGTAGTTCAGTAAGCTAATGCGTAAAGCCTTAACGTTTGAAACAATGGTTGCTGCGTTCGAATCCCAATGAAACACACACACTGGGATAAAGTTAAACCTAGCTGACGAGTTGAAAACGGGAAAAAATACGCGTCCTGGATTCTACAAACAGATAAATCAACCAAATGAAATCAAGTTAATCATTTCCTTTTGAGATATGTTACAGATCTCGCTGGCTTTTGAGTGAGTTGATTAAACTTACGGGTTCAAAGTAAAGTTATTTGAGCAGTAAACTGGTAGTAGCAGTTTCTGCGAGTGGAGCAATATTTTGAACTCGAGTAATCGGAACCGATCTTTCACTTACCAGACTAAGAGCCACATTTATCATGTGAAAGCTGCTGATACTACCCGGTCGCCGAGGCTGAAATAAGTGGGGTACAACTCGAAATAGTCTAGGCCAATGAACTCAACTCCACTAAGTAGTGTTTTGCAGAAATCACATTTTTTCATAGCTGGAACACAGACACATAAATAGGTGGAGAACCTGGACGACTGCATCAGTTTAAGTCCTTGCTAGACAAATTAGTAGACGAAAATGCAGTAAAATAGATAATAAAATAGTATCAATATCTCTATTTTCGACCACATTGGACGACCAACAGATGAAAGAATCGACTCCATTCACAGCAGCAACACTGTCTTAACATACCCCACATAACGCACCACACATAACCAATTCCAGTAATGTTCACCTTGGAGTCACAAAAGCCACAACAGTCGAGTAGCGTGGTGCATTAAGCACAATTTTACTTAAGACCAGGAAACATCACCTAAAATCCAAGAAGCGAACACAAAGAATTCAATTCATTCGACACTAGCTCATAAAAACGATGCGGAATTTTGTACTCCTGGAACTGTCCTGAGCCCTAAATCAACTAGTTTCAGAAGGGATAAACAAATAAGGATACTTACCGGGAAGGGAGTAAAATACGCTTCGAGGTTTCTAATCCCAGAAACTACCTAAAAATATGACTAAAAATAAACACCTCTCAGGGAGTACAACATCTGAATACAGTCGACGACCTTAGAGTTGAGATATGTAGAATATGACCTTTGACTTGCTCATTAGCAAGCACAAAATTACATAAAAGCGACGAGATGACACTGAAGCGAAATACTCCAAACAGCGACTTTAGACCTCTAATAAAACTCAAACCACATTTTTCCCTAGACTAGCATAAACCATTGAAGAAGATTAGATTAACTCAGTAACCTCCAGTCACACCTACACATTAAAATAACAATCCTCGCTGAAACCTAGCTAATCACCAATATAGTCGACCGAAAAAACAGTAGAGATCATATGGTTCGCCTCACGAGAGGCAGGGATAATAAGGAAGGAGGGGGAGATGCTACATACTTTGACAGGCAACTTAAATGCGCACGTGCAACCGATCCACCGATAACTGAACTTCTAGACCCTACTAGGTGTTATTTCACCGTAGGCCACACCAAGCATTTACTGGGTGGCATCTACCGATCTCCCACCCGTGGGGCAGAGCACAATCAGCTAATGCTCTGAACCATTACAGGGATACGGGACTTAGGCTATGACCAAATCACCATAGCTAGAGACTTGAATGCCATATCCCTGAACTTTGGCTCGGGGTAAACCCAGGGAAAGTTCGGTCGAAATCTACTGCAAACCATTATAAACGCAGGAAGCACTGAGAATTTTGAAGAAGATTCTAAATGAGGCACTAGCGGAAAGTCATCGAAACTAGATTATATCCTAGCTAGTGACCAACTACTCGTCGAAAATGTCGAGATCATGACCACGCAGCCATTGCGTTTGATCTTGATCTCCATTAACGCTAACAGTGGAACGATGAGGAACCATGTCTGTGCTGAAACAAGGCTGACTATGTCGGAATGCGAAGGCTTTTTTCCGACTCAGAATGGCCCATAGAATGGGCTGAGTTATCTGTGGAGGAACACTGGGAAGTGTTAACGAAATTCCTCAAATACCGTCCGTCTAGTTACAGCACAGTCGAAGAAGAGATCCTCATGGGTGAAGAGGCATGCACCACTTATTCCGCAAGAAAGGAGGAAGACTTGGTCTATGTGGCGAACCTTAAGGCGTCAAATCGATTACAATGCATACCTGGAATTCAGGAAACGGTGCAACGTGAGAGTCAGGAGTGACGGGAAGTCATTCCAGGCTAACCTAGCTATAAACCCCTAGTAAACCCCAAAAAACTTGTACCAATCCATGTCGGAAAGGAAACGAACCAACCAGGGGGCATGCGGATTAGTAGGCCCAAACGGTTAATATTTCACTAGTCTGGATATGGCTGAAACATTCAGTTTAACCTTCGCCAAACAGCTAAACAGCAATGTGGGTATTACCGTCACGGACCAAAATGTTGGTACTACTATTTCACAGGAGGAAGACCTAGTGGCTACTCCCCTAATGAACCCGGCAATGGTACTAAGGAAGCTACAGCGGCTCACACCTGGGAAGTCCCCAGGTTGTGACGACATCAGGCCATCTGTTCTGAAACAGTGTGCCGAAGCTTCCTGTAGGGATTTATGCCACTTGTTCCAAGGCTCGATGGATTCGGAGAAACTGCCAAGGGAGTGGAAAACAGCCGTCCTTTCTCCGATCTTCAAGTATGGCGAAATGTCTCCAGTTATAGACCAGTAGCTTTACTCCCAGTGGTATCAAAAGTACTGGAAAGTAAAATTGATTACATCAGGGAGCACTTCGATAGGACTAACAGACTCCATGAAGCACAACATGGGTTCATGAAAGGCAGATCCTATGCAACAAACCTACCGTCAGCTAGAGATGATTGAACATCATGCTGGGATGAGTATTCCATTCCATATGATCTTCTTAGACTTTGAGAAGGCATTTGACACAGTTCACCATGAGCTTCTCCTACACAAAATAAGCCAGGCACGTATAGGTAAGTGACTTCTGTTATGGTTAGAGGACTACCTAGCTGAAAGGCAATTTTGCATTAAGGTCATTCGAGCCCGATCATCTTGGCACGGCTCGTCATCAGGAGTGTCACAGGGTTCTATCCTAAGATCACTGATGTTTTTGATTTTTATCAATGACCTACCATGTCGTCTAAGCTGCCTGACTCTTCTTTACGCTGACATAAAGATATGGAGGGCGATAAAGTGTTCGGAGGACTCAAATAGACTGCAGGAAGATCTAAAGCTTCTGAAAGACTGGGCGGTGGCCAGTGGTGAGACTTTCAACCTGAAAAAGTACAAAGTAGTGAAGTTACGCACCTGTAGACTGCAGAATGCAAATTACACCCTGCGCAACGAAAGCTTTTCCTGCACAACATCGGAACGTGACTTAGGTCTAGTTCTATTGGAAAAAATGGACACAGGCGTAAATTACACGGGGGACGTAGCGAGGGCATATGTGGTCGTACACATAGACGGTTAGGTGCACTCACTCCTGAGGTTTTTCTAAGGTTTTACAAAACGTACGTCAGACCACACCTTGAAGTGCATAATATTATTGCATCCCGACTGCTTAGAAGAGACGCCAACTTCTTGGAAAGAGTCCAACAACGGGCAACAAAAGGAGTGGTTGGTCTCCGAAACAAACCATATGATGAAAGTCTGAAGAAATTAGGCCTATTCACACTTGGCTACCGTCGGCTTAGCGGGATTTAATTACTGCCTACAAAATAACAAGTGACCAGAATCACCCAAACAAAGGTGTTCTGCCATTGAGTAGGTATAGGCTTCTTTGTGGAAACCGCTGAAGGATAGCTCACCGGAGGGCAAGGACTCGGGTGCACTCCCACTTCTTTTCACTGCGGGTTTGTCATCCTTGGAATTCCTTACCGGCATATGTAGCTAGGGCACCGTCTGTGGACGCCTTTAAGCGAAGGCTGGACAATCATGCAGCGAAACAAGGACTGAGTATAAACAGCCTATCCCCTTAAAATCTCATATACTAATAATGGACAGACATCCACAATCATCGATTAACTTCTTCACATTATCTCTTGTCTTATTCCCCTGACTACTCTAAATATTACATCCCTTACACTAATATTATATATATATATATATATATATATATATATATATATATATATATAAACTTTCAATTTCATTAGCTGTCCGTTTTATCCCTTTTTCTGTCTTTAAGTCTGCATAAGCTAAATTAACTATATGTATCACCATTATCTCTTTTCCCTCATCGAAACTGGAGAACCAACTAAGGGAACGAACAACTCCATTCACAGTAGCAACACGGTCCTTACACACCGCATGCTACAAACAACACACGATTAATCCATGCACTACTCCTTTTGGAGTTAACCAAGTCTACTACAATCAAGTGGAGGGGGACGAACTATGCGAAAGTTTACCGAAGACCAGGAACCTTTACCTCACAACGAAGAAGCGAGCAGGAAGAAATCAAATTGGTTTACACTATCTCATAAGAAAACGATATGGCATATTGGACCTAATTCTAATCTAAAACTAACCCTTAAAATCCCTCAAATAGAATTAATCTATTCATAACCAACTCGTATACCCCAAATTAGGTTACCCTAACCGGCGTAATATCATTGCAATGCATGCACTATTTTCATGATTAGGTATATAATCTGTATAGTTTATTGGCAGACTTCATTGACCTTCTCCGACTGGTTACAACAGCTGTGCATAATAGGACAGATGAGCGACTTTCAGTAACTTCATACGTCACTAAAAATATTCATTACTTGTCATTTGTATATGACAATTGTTATATATCCTTTAGGACAGAAATAGTCGATTATTTATATTCCCACGGTAACTTTGCTCGAAAATATTTAGGTTAGAATTCTCCAGTGAGAAATTACGTATTTTTTCACTTTCTGAAGAGATCTTCAGTCTGATATGTTATTCTTTTCTAATCGTTGTTCAGAAACATGTTTTTACAACTTGTGACTCTAAACACTAAAGGTAGATTTTAGTGACTAAGAAGAAGTTCAAGCATTCGTGTTACTGTGAAAAAAATAATATATTTCCAATCATCTTAGATAACTGACCTTTCTGAAACCAGCAAAACCCCCATCGCATTCACTTAGTATCTCAAGGTCAACACGCCATTCAAAACGTCGCTGTTTCCTTTAATGAATTTCAGGGTGAATTATGTGTCCAAAACTGTCAGGAGTGCCTTATCTTTTTCTTCATGACATCCAATATCCTATATCGTGTATATGAACTAGTATAAACTAAACTGATTTCTTTGTGCTCGCCTCTGGATTGTGAGGTATAAGTTCGGGATCTACGGTAAATTTCTACGTAGCTCGTCCAGCCACTCGACTGTCGTAGCTTTGTCTGACTCCAAAAGTAGTAGTGCTGGGATTAATTATAAAAGAGATAATAATAGTAACGATAATAGATATAATTAGCGAACTTATTCAAACTAACAGACAGAAAATTAAATCAGAAAACGTAACAACAGTAAGCTGACTAAATTTAAAGAATAAAATGAATTATATACATAAATTAATATCTAGGTAATAATGATAATAACAATGTGTAGTTAAAGTTGTTAGTGGATTAAGACCGAAGAAAATGTAAAGAGGAAAAACGATGAACTTAGTTGCCTACCGCTGAAAAGTGTATGCGATTTTAAGGGGATAGGCTGTTTATACTCAGTCCTTGTTTCGCTGCATGATTGTCCAGCCTTCGCTTAAAGGCGTCCACAGACGGTGCCCTAGCTACATATGCCGGTAAGGAATTCCAAGGATGACAAACCCGCAGTGAAAAGAAGTGGGAGTGCACCCGAGTCCTTGCCCTCCGGTGAGCTATCCTTCAGCGGTTTCCACAAAGAAGCCTATACCTACTCAATGGCAGAACACCTTTGTTTGGGTGATTCTGGTCACTTGTTATTTTGTAGGCAGTAATTAAATCCCGCTAAGCCGACGGTAGCCAAGTGTGAATAGGCCTAATTTCTTCAGACTTTCATCATATGGTTTGTTTCGGAGACCAACCACTCCTTTTGTTGCCCGTTGTTGGACTCTTTCCAAGAAGTTGGCGTCTCTTCTAAGCAGTCGGGATGCAATAATATTATGCACTTCAAGGTGTGGTCTGACGTACGTTTTGTAAAACCTTAGAAAAACCTCAGGAGTGAGTGCACCTAACCGTCTATGTGTACGACCACATATGCCCTCGCTACGTCCCCCGTGTAATTTACGCCTGTGTCCATTTTTTCCAATAGAACTAGACCTAAGTCACGTTCCGATGTTGTGCAGGAAAAGCTTTCGTTGCGCAGGGTGTAATTTGCATTCTGCAGTCTACAGGTGCGTAACTTCACTACTTTGTACTTTTTCAGGTTGAAAGTCTCACCACTGGCCACCGCCCAGTCTTCCAGAAGCTTTAGATCTTCCTGCAGTCTATTTGAGTCCTCCGAACACTTTATCGCCCTCCATATCTTTATGTCAGCGTAAAGAAGAGTCAGGCAGCTTAGACGACATGGTAGGTCATTGATAAAAATCAAAAACATCAGTGATCTTAGGATAGAACCCTGTGACACTCCTGATGACGAGCCGTGCCAAGATGATCGGGCTCGAATGACCTTAATGCAAAATTGCCTTTCAGCTAGGTAGTCCTCTAACCATAACAGAAGTCACTTACCTATACGTGCCTGGCTTATTTTGTGTAGGAGAAGCTCATGGTGAACTGTGTCAAATGCCTTCTCAAAGTCTAAGAAGATCATATGGAATGGAATACTCATCCCAGCATGATGTTCAATCATCTCTAGCTGACGGTAGGTTTGTTGCATAGGATCTGCCTTTCATGAACCCATGTTGTGCTTCATGGAGTCTGTTAGTCCTATCGAAGTGCTCCCTGATGTAATCAATTTTACTTTCCAGTACTTTTGATACCACTGGGAGTAAAGCTACTGGTCTATAACTGGAGACATTTCGCCATACTTGAAGATCGGAGAAAGGACGGCTGTTTTCCACTCCCTTGGCAGTTTCTCCGAATCCATCGAGCCTTGGAACAAGTGGCATAAATCCCTACAGGAAGCTTCGGCACACTGTTTCAGAACAGATGGCCTGATGTCGTCACAACCTGGGGACTTCCCAGGTGTGAGCCGCTGTAGCTTCCTTAGTACCATTGCCGGGTTCATTAGGGGAGTAGCCACTAGGTCTTCCTCCTGTGAAATAGTAGTACCAACATTTTGGTCCGTGACGGTAATACCCACATTGCTGTTTAGCTGTTTGGCGAAGGTTAAACTGAATGTTTCAGCCATATCCAGACTAGTGAAATATTAACCGTTTGGGCCTACTAATCCGCATGCCCCCTGGTTGGTTCGTTTCCTTTCCGACATGGATTGGTACAAGTTTTTTGGGGTTTACTAGGGGTTTATAGCTAGGTTAGCCTGGAATGACTTCCCGTCACTCCTGACTCTCACGTTGCACCGTTTCCTGAATTCCAGGTATGCATTGTAATCGATTTGACGCCTTAAGGTTCGCCACATAGACCAAGTCTTCCTCCTTTCTTGCGGAATAAGTGGTGCATGCCTCTTCACCCATGAGGATCTCTTCTTCGACTGTGCTGTAACTAGACGGACGGTATTTGAGGAATTTCGTTAACACTTCCCAGTGTTCCTCCACAGATAACTCAGCCCATTCTATGGGCCATTCTGAGTCGGAAAAAAGCCTTCGCATTCCGACATAGTCAGCCTTGTTTCAGCACAGACATGGTTCCTCATCGTTCCACTGTTAGCGTTAATGGAGATCAAGATCAAACGCAATGGCTGCGTGGTCATGATCTCGACATTTTCGACGAGTAGTTGGTCACTAGCTAGGATATAATCTAGTTTCGATGACTTTCCGCTAGTGCCTCATTTAGAATCTTCTTCAAAATTCTCAGTGCTTCCTGCGTTTATAATGGTTTGCAGTAGATTTCGACCGAACTTTCCCTGGGTTTACCCCGAGCCAAAGTTCAGGGATATGGCATTCAAGTCTCTAGCTATGGTGATTTGGTCATAGCCTAAGTCCCGTATCCCTGTAATGGTTCAGAGCATTAGCTGATTGTGCTCTGCCCCACGGGTGGGAGATCGGTAGATGCCACCCAGTAAATGCTTGGTGTGGCCTACGGTGAAATAACACCTAGTAGGGTCTAGAAGTTCAGTTATCGGTGGATCGGTTGCACGTGCGCATTTAAGTTGCCTGTCAAAGTATGTAGCATCTCCCCCTCCTTCCTTATTATCCTTTTCTCTCTTTACCCTACCGGTAACTTTCATACTCATATCACTTTGGGCAATTTTGTGAGTTCTCCACGTTCCAGTGTGAATTGTTTATGTGTTCTTGGGGATTTTGGAGGCCGCTTCTATTTCTTTCACCGCCCTCGCATTGCTTTATAGGCAGCTGACAGTGAATTTCACAAGCTCAGTATTTTGTAGGGTAGTTGACGTGGGGCTGTCTGCCTTTTGTTGACTTAATATTTGGAGTATTTGACCGACTCCCATGGAACCGCTCCGTTGTCATATTTTTCCATTGATTTTGGCGGGACACTTGGGTGACACAGACTGTTATTCTCAATACTGTATCGCTCTCGTGTCACTGAAGTTTGAGTACGTATTAATGCCTCAGTTTGCCGCCTGCATATTGTTCGAGTTTCGCTGACGTAACATCGGATGTGTCCTCCTATTTTTCCCTAACTATTATACTATCGTCGAGGTGCTATGGCCAATTGCTTCGAGGTGTTTAATGTGATAATTTGCATATTTTGGAGAGCCAAAGATTGTGAGATGAGCTGGCCGAGGTATGTCAATGGACATGAACACTGAACGTTTGTTTTACGGACTGGTAGTCATTGGTGGGCAACTCGAAGGCGCGAATGGGTCAATCGTGTACAAGTTCGACGAAGACGGTCAAAAACGAATAAATGTACATAATAAATTTGTATAAAACATTTCTTTGTAGGCTTGTACTGTTCTCCAATTTAATTGCCAAACAATATAACTTCCTTCTCACAATACTCGTGTTTTGCAGTTAAAGCCGAAGAAAATACATAGTATTTATCGGCGCGGTGCGTCTTCGTAACAGTAGGAACTTAGAGATAAGTTCCTTGACAGTTCTTATTCGTTTTCTGGAGGGCCTTCTGGGGCAGTTTTATTCATCTGTTCCTTTTTTGGGGGGCCTTCTGGAACTTCCGAGATTACTTACTGGGTCTGTAGCCAGCATCTCTTTGGACACGGACTATCAAAGCAATTTGAATCCTTTGGTGAAGTTGGATAATGCCTGGGTCAAGAAAAAGACGTGGCACCATGGAAGCAGACAAAAAATAAGTAACGATGAGTTACCTGTTAATTGTAATGATATACATTATGCTCAGCATGATGAGTCTGATGTTCACGCTTCGCCGTTTAGGGATAGTAGTTCTTTAAGACTCCCCAAGTTTGAACCTCGGCACTTTGATGGAAACCCAGCCGACTATTCACAGTTTATCAAAGAGTTTGAGGTGATGTTGAGCGGTTTTGTTTTAAGTGACGAAATGGAGTTAATGTATTTGTTGAGGTATTGCACTGGTGTTGCTGCAAGAGCCATAGAGTGCTGCGAGTTTATGTCCCCGAACGAAGGATATACAGAGGCTATGAGGATACTACGTCAAAGGTTTGGAAAACCATTTGTGATATCCCGTAGTATTTCTGAGACCGTGAAGGGTAATGGATCACAGTTAAACGATAATTCAGATTAACTCGCAGAGTTCTTGGACAGTTTAATGGTATATAGAAATACTGTTGTGTCTCTTAATTGTGTGGATGAATTGAATTCAAGTTCCGTGCGTGAGACTGTTGTCAGGAGATTACCAGTTCGTCTGCAAAGAAAGTTGATAAAGATCAGCTCCCGTCTAGAAGAAGAGGGTTTAGAGCCTGTGTTGGATGATATTGTGAGCCTGGTGAAAGGCAGCGTCAACGAAGCTTTGAGAAAGTTTGCTAGTATACTGCATCCCACCCTTGAAATAGAGAAATCAGAGAGCAAAACGCAATCATTTATGACGAAAGGGTCTCAGAGAAGCGGATATAGAGAAAGCTTTATAGTATCTAGTAATCCAAGTAA